ACGCGCTCTCTGATAGATGCGAAGCGACGAGCCGAAGACGCTCGCGCTGACTCCCAACTCGCGCAGGGGTATTTCCGCAGACAGCGAACAAGAGAGGGAGAGAAGTGTGAAGCCAATCACGGGGCGGGGGAGGGGCTTCGCGAAGTCTTCTCAGCCAATGGCAGCTCCGCAACGGTAAAGCGGCCCACGTGGGCCTGTAAATTTGTACTTATCAACGAACATGCATTGAATCCACTCTAGCCAATCATTTGGGTCCTAAGTGTTAATCTCAATACGGATTGGCTGGCAGTTTCATACAGGTCTTTATTCATCTCCGTTGTTAACTCATTCCTGCCACACGTTTTTTTGCAGTGACTGCCTCATGAAGCATTCCTCATCCAAGTCCCTTTTTGGGAAGCATTTTCTTGTCAGCAAAATAAATGGCCCGAAGTTTAGGTGCAAATTGTATATAAAACATCCATCCTCTTTTTATAATCTGCATCCATTAGGCCATAAACCATTAGCTTGATTACATTAGGATGAAATTTACATGGGTCCTGTTGATACCGATGTGTCAATTAGCCCACACACAAAATTAAATGTTCTTAAATAAACTGTCTGATTGAATAGACGGATGTGACATCTAAAAATACCTCACTATTGAGGAGGAAGCATATGTCTATTCTAGGTTGTAATAATAATGCAACAGACCAAATTGTTGAGGGTAATATTTAGCGCCGGTCCTCCCCTGCGTTTTGACTATAAATTCAACAGAGTCGTGGGAAAATGACCGTTGATTCTAAAAGCGGCCAAAAACCATTTTGAAAGGTGGACTCAGTAAGTTTTTGTTTACATTTAGTGTATTGCAATCAAGAATTAACTTTAATTGCTTCAGTAGTTCCAGTGCTTTAGGAATTTACACTGAGACCTATTGGCCTGGAAGCATGAAGTTTGCCACTAAATGCTGCCGCTTCGTTGTTTTGTTGTGTCTGTATGTTGTTTTGTTTGAGCTTGTGATTAGTGAAGTGCCTTGAGCAGTGGATGAAAGTAGGCCTACTGTATAAAATAAACACATTATTATAGTATTAGTAACCTGGTCAATTACTTGACAAAATGTGGCAGCGCCCATGAGGAACCAGCCCACCACATACATGCAGAATAAAACAGCTTTTTCTTCTAGAAGACTGACATGAGTCATGTCTTTTCATGTGGCTGTACATCATTTTAATGCTATTCCTAAAAAGTGCTTTTTATTTCTTTATATGTAAAACTTAGAGCACCTTTAATTGCTGTTAATATAGCTTTAAACCGCTTGGCTCATGTTTCGCACCTTTCTTTGACTGGAAGGTCCCGTTTGCGGAGGGGGGCTATAAAACAAAGATTAAAAATAGTCAAGTGAGTATAATCCCATCATGCTCACAGTCACAGAGGCACCACGTCTGACAAACCCAGCATTAATCTCTTATTTTCTTAAGAAGGGACTCTAGTGAGACGTGCAAAGCAATAGTGACACCTAGAGGGCCGATCGAGGACTGCTTTTGATGGAAGGTGCTCTTTCCCGTTTACCCCTTATGAATTATGCAGCAGACATACAATTTATCTGCTCCCATGGTGGACGAGGAGGTCACATCCAGCCGCATGGCTACCACAGCTGTACGTTAAACCTCGGGTGGCATCTTCAGCCATCAACACTCTTCTGATCAGGTCTGGATTCCTCCATCTTTGTTCAGATGACTTGTGCTAAAAGAAGAAAGAACGTTCAATTTACATTTATTTATTTAGCACACATTTTATCCAACATGAATTATAAAAGAGAATAATAAAAGCAAAGCCTAATGCAATGGAGAAAACGAATACAAGTAGTGATGCAATACACATTTATATTAGTTCTTGAATAGTAAACTCTATGCTACTATAGATAAAAAATAAAGAAAGATTACATTACATTTACATTTGTTCATTACACAGACTTTTTTATCAAAAACTTGCAATAATACAAGAAGAAATAATTAATTCAAGGGGGGGAAAAGGCCTACAAGTCATGCTAAAATACCTCATTTCAACTGAGTCCTAGAAAAAGGGGATGGACACTGGGGCAAACTATCCCAGCCACATCTTAACTGAAACATGATGTTGTTCTGATGACAGGATATAACAAGGTTGCAAAACCAAAGGACATAGAATTCAGAGTTGAGGAGATCAGGGTGGGGAAAAATTGAGCTGGAAAGGGTGAGATGGAGGAGAGAAAAAGAGGAGGAAAAGATCACAGGTTGAGAAGAGTGCGGGAGACGGGATAAAAATGAAAGGGATAATGAAGAGGCCGGGTAGATTGAGAGACAGAGGAAGAGGGAGAGCAAGAAAGAAGAATGTTACATATATTGGTGGTACTGGGGGTGGCAGGGTTGCTCCCGACAGAGCAGGGGAATAGCAGCATTGCAGTTAATAGGGTAGAAAAAGCTGGGGGGCTGTTAACTCTGAAATGTTCATTTTTAAACTCAAGCCTTTTTTCTCTCCTTTCACCCCCTCCTCTCTCTCTCTCTCTCTCTCTCTCTCTCTCTCTCTCTCTCTCTCTCTCTCTCTCTCTCTCTCTCTCTCTCTCTCTCTCTCTCTCTCTCTCTCTCTCTCTCTCTCTCTCTCCCTCTCTCTCCCTTTGACAATCGTGCTCCCTCCCCAGGCTGTGTAGTAATGATAGCTATTTGACTGCCATCAGAGGAGCTGGGTAATGGTCTCTAAAGAACCATTTCAGACTCAACCTGGCAGCGCTGGCCTCCCAAAAACATCTGCTTGCCTATCAAGAGGTACCACCGCACCAGACACACTACACACACATAAGCACACTCATGCATGGACACGCACAGTACTGTGTTGCGTAGAGTCATGCCCGACTTAGGTAATGGACCACGGGAATACTTGTGAGCTGAATACCAACAAAAATAAAAGAGGTGGTAATAGTGTTGTTGTGGTTAGGGTAGGGACTGGGGACTGAAATAATACTGATATCAGACTCCTCTTGTAATTAAATGTATAAATGATACTGAGGGGCCCCAAACAATGACTTCACGGTAGTAGAAATCAGACAGGTAATGTGTATGTATAATTTATCTTTAATATGTTATGTACTTCCTGTTCATGTTGTTTAGACGAAGGTTCTCTATTGCAGTATGATTTCCCAAAATGCAAACTAGATTGCCTTTTATGTCCCTGATTGTGGTTAATTCTTGAAAGATTTTAGGCTTCCTAATGGACACCAGGGACCTTGTAGAAAATAAAACCAGACATTTCCATGTTGATTGGTGTAAAATATTTCAGATTATAGTACAGAGGTAAACTTTTCTTGTGATATTTTGCACCGTCTCTGGTAAATTTCTGCTACTCTGCCTCCCTCTGGTGGCACATTCCAGTACGTTCTTTTCATTCAGAAAGTTTTCCATGGGTAGGTAATGTGAAACATGGGCTTTCCATATTAGCCATATTGTTAACAATTCATTTGTATTTTTCTTCCACAGAAATTACCATGTTCATATATCTGGAGACCTCCTATATATTCACCCATAATTCAAACATTCATTCAAATGTGTGGAGAAAGATATGTCGGTGATTAAATGGGAGCTTCTGCGCTACTGTATTTGTAGTCAGTTGAATTAACCTGGCTCACAGGTCATGATAGCTTTTCTCTTTGAAAGAGCAAAGCTCCAAACTGTCAGTCAGGCTGTTGAAGGGATTACTTGCAATTGACAAGCTCTCAGCCCATTGAAGAAAGCCGAAGAGAGATTTGATTATGGCGACAAGGTCAAATATGCTTCCCACCATTAGTGATTTTTGATAATATAGAAACACTTATTTTGTGTGTGTTAATTCAGCTTTTTTTCTGAAACTAATTGGAAATTATTTTTGTCTCAGTCTTTGTTTTGAGATTTCTCCAAGGTGTCATACAATGGTCTACAAGTACTCAACTGACAGCACATCAGTTGTGCTGTGCTGGATTTTGTAGTTAAATCCTCAGCTACTCACTGTAACATCTCAAACATGACATATGCAATTTATTGTCCATTGCTTTATTATCAAAGCTTCTGGCGACAATGTAAAAGTGTAAATAATAATGTAAGGGTCATAGTGCATGTCTAAGGTTAACATCTCTGCTTAGAGGATCTTGGACAAATGTAAACAAAGGATAGATTTGCCAAAGCCAATAACGGTTAATGAACGTCTTATTGTTCCTATGCTTAGATGAGTGTGTATATATGTGTGTGTGGTTCAGGCTTACTTGTCCCATACGCGGTCAGTCACCGACAGATGGAAGGTTCTGTGTCCAAGACGCGCCCAAGGAGAGGAGGAGGGGTTTGGGGCTGCTATGGATTAGATTGGTCTAATAAAAGAGTTGGATCATTGAAAGGCAGATTAGGGGCCTGTGGTGGAGACGGTTTTTCGAACAAACATGCTTGGGATTTGAAATGGATCGACAATATGTGTAGCATTACGCAAACATGAGGCAGCCAGTGAAATGCTTAGCAAACAACTTATGTGACTGAAAAAAAGCTGGGGAGATGTTTTCAGTCACAGTGAATTGGTCTTCAATGGCTACATGTCAGGCATCTTTGAATAAGCATCTGTTTGTTACCTCCACCTACACTCACACACCCATATGCACAGTGCTGTAATAAAGATGACCAACCGAGCTCGGAATCAGAGAAGTCATGTAACTGTATCCTGAGTGTGCACTGGAAAGCCGATCCCCCTCTCAGGCCACTACCACTGGTGCTGGGGGAGGGCTCTGGTTACCCAGCTTTGTGTCAAAGCGCCATCAGCAAAGAGTTAGAGACTGGGGAGGAGGACAAAGGCAGGAGCACTATAGAACGGGTGGATTACTGGGCCTCCATAAAGGGTCTCTAGTGTAAGAATACGTCCAATATAGCAAAAGAGGAGAAAGGACGTATAAAAAGAAACATAAGAGGATAGGACACCAGGTGAAAGGGAGGTAGAAAAGGTGTCGAAGTACACCCGAAAAGCTGCACTGTACTTCATGTGCCGTTTGTTGACAAGCTGGACTGGCATCTTAGTGGGCACCTTGCACACTAAAATGCTTCTATTTCTCGAGGTCTCGGAGGAGAATGATGTGTCTTTTTAATGGATGCACATGCCTTAAGGATGTGACGGAATTAAAAATACTTAGAAGAGGACAAGGAGGAGACAAACCAATCAGATGTCAGACTGAAGGACTGAGACGACTAAGGCATCGAGAAGAAGTAAAACCGCGTGACTCGGTCTTGAGCAGCATCTCTTTAAGAGATCAGTAGTCCCACAATCTCAAAGGCAGCCAATGAAGAGGACAAGAGATGCAGGTGAATTGAGAAGGAAAGGGAATGAGAAAGAAAGCGGGTGAAAGAGGTGCAGAGGAAAAGGAACCGTTGGGATCAGGGTGACGTCAGCAGCTCTCTGGATTGAGGTGTTGAGTCCTCCTGATTATAATCTGATCTGATTAGGAAACACAGGGAAAAAATCTCCAGAGCCTCTGCAAGCTCTCCGGGGAGCAAGACGCCGTTTTTACTGAGCGGAGAGGCCAGGACCAGGGGCAAAACTAGAAGAGGAACTTAGGCCTAATAAAGAAAGTTAAGGCCTGTATCTGAAGAGAATAGGCTACACTAAGGAGTCTATAGTGAAGTGGACTTCACTTTACTCTTCCCCAATAAGAAGCAAATTAATCAGGACACATAGGAGAGCTAACTTTGTATGTCTACAGGCTGATCAGCTTCTTCTCTGGACTTTCAACACTCTCTGGCTTCCATCTGGGTTGTAAGCCAGGATGCCCTCCAATGGCAGTAAAGCCCTCAAGCTACAATTCGGGCTTATTAATCATGAGAATCGCTATTTAACAGCGGAGGCCTTCGGCTTCAAGATGAATGCTTCAGCTCCAAGTCTCAAGAAGAAGCAGATCTGGACTCTAGAGCATGATGAGCAGGATGGTCAGGTGGTTTACTTGCGCAGTCACCTGGGTCGCTACCTGGCTTCCGACAAAGATGGCAAGGTGAGCTGTGAGGCTGAGACCAAAGAGAACGATTGCCGCTTTCTGATTGTGGCACAGTCAGACGGCCGCTGGGCCCTGCAGTCCGAGCCATATCTGCGCTTCTTTGGAGGTTCAGAGGACTACCTGTCCTGCTTTGCTCAGACCATTGGCGAGGCAGAACTATGGGCCATGCACCTGGCCCTGCACCCACAGGCAAATCTGCTCAGTGTGGCCCGCAAACGCTATGCCCACCTAGCGTCTCCAGAAGGAGAGATTGCTGTGGACAGCAACATCCCCTGGGGTGTAGATGCTCTCCTAACTCTTGTGTACATGGACGGCAAATATTGTCTAAAGACCAGTGACAGCCGCTTCCTGAGCAACGACGGGAAACTGTCCTCTGAAAATGGCCGTGGGACAGGCTACACCTTGGAACTGAAATCAGGCAAATTGGCCTTCAAGGACTGTGAGGGGAAGTACTTGACCCCCATGGGGCCCACTGGAACTCTGCGCTCTGGACGCTGCTCCAAACCTGGCAAAGACGAGTTGTTTGATCTTGAGGAAAGCCATCCGCAAGTGGTGTTTCAGGCCGCCAACAACAGATTTGTCTCCATCCGACAAGGTAAGTGGTGCTGGTTGAATTTCTTTTGACATTTCCCTACACAGGAAGACCACATGCTTCTGATATCATCAGTGGCCAGCCTCATTTTTCTGCTGTTAGAATCGAGTGAATACAATCTTTAAAACCTTGTGAAAGTACATTAAATAACAGTTCACCTTAAAATTTATATTCTGTCATCATATACTTACCCTTATGTTGTTTCCAAATATGTATGACTTTTTTATACTGTGGAACAGTAATATTTTGTCTCAGTGTTTTTGCCTGTAAAATGAAACTCAGTGGGGTCTAATGTTGTTTTGGACCAAACCGGCTTTCGTGGTATGGACAAAAACAGAATATTAAAAATATCATATTTTATCATACAGCAAGTCATACAGGTTTCCAATGGCTTGAGAGTAATAAAATGATGGCAGATTTTAAATTTTTTGGGTGAATTATTCCTTTAAGGAGATTCAAGGGAACTATCAATATAAGGTTTGTCCCCCTCCCTTAGCACTCCTGTGGCGACTTGTGTAACAGATGTGAGTCCTCATTACAACTATTAAGTTCTTTTAATACCTCTTGGGTAACCCGACATAGAAAGCTAGAGTATGGAGTGGAGACATGTAAATGTCAATTGTAGATTCAGTGAAAAATTTAATTTTCAGATTGAATAATATGCTAAACAACTTGATTTTAGCATTCTGAGCATAACTTGCACTGTTGTGCTATCAGTCTTGCTCCCCATTAGTGTTTTATAAGCAAGCATACAATGCATGAAAATAAATTGCATGCAAAATTGCAGCTGGATGGCAAACTATGCACACATAGTCAAATCTATGGAAACTAGCCTGGAGAGCAGGTGAACACTGAGTCACACCCATGAGCGTGACCTCACAGAAATAATATATGGCAGCTGTCTTTTCAGCTGAGTTGGCCAATATTAATCTGCCAGACATAGCCGATTTTTATTCTCTGGCCATGTGCTCTGCTAACAAACACGCTGCATAATTGTAGTTTCCTGTCTTGACTGAGCAACTAAGTTCTGTAATGTAAATCTCGCATGCTGGAACATTATCCATTATCTCCAGTGCAGAGCTCTTGGTAAGCATTTTGAGCCACCTGCAATAGATAAATTACTGGAGAAACTGAATGGCTTTGAATATCCACCATAGTAAGCTGGGTCAGTAACAGATCCTGTCCCCTCCAGTACACTCATCCATCCATCTCTCTCTCTCTCTCTCTCTTGGTCTTACACTCTTTCTCATTCTCACAGATGCACACATACGCATATTTTTTTCACAGAGTGATATACTTTTAGCCATTGCTTTTATAGAACAAAATAGGACGAAGATGCTCTGATATAAGCACATGCACGCATGCACACACTAGTGGCGAGGTGTGATAAATAATTGAGTGGACAGGGGCATTTCAATGATGGTGGAGTCTGCTTTCAGAAACACAAGCCTTCCGCCACATTTCTTTATCTGGGGACCATGCAATGTGCTGGTCTACAATGGGGACACACAAATCAGAGAGTCCTTCAGGAGCAGTTGGGTTCTGCCCAACAGGGGGAAAAAACCAATGGGGGGAAAGGGACAATGGAGTGTGAAAATATACAGCAGAAAGGAGAACAAGACAGGCAGGAGGAAGAGAGATCAGGCACAAAATCACAATGAATAGACACATAATGCATTATGGGTGTGGACAGGTGAACGGTATTGCTTTTTTGTCATTGTAAAAAGATCATAAATCAAAGACTTTAGCAGCAGTTCCCTGGGGAGGACATGATGTTGTATTGTCAGTTTAGTTTACCCATGGGATAGAGCTATTTAATGCCATCTGAAAAGTTTGTGGTAGCAAAGCATGTGCACCAGGAGCCAATTGAGAGCACAAAGGAAATGTAGCTAAATAGGTTGCAAGGCAGCTATTATACAAATCCTAAACTGTGAGGTCTGAAATGTTAGCATCTGAAGCCATAGCTAAAATCTCTGGATTGTAATCAAAATTAAGAGGTGAGATGTTTGAGTCACACATTATAACTCTTAATGAGTCCTACAGTGCGTTTGCCTTGCTTCAAATGGTTCAGTGTCGATTCAACATTAAGAAACATGAAGTATCAACATATTGGCAAAAAGAATCCGTTTCATTATGGGTGAAAAAAGACAAGGAAAATGACACAGGCCAGATGGAACATTTGTTCTTAATGAACAAGAAGCATCTCTCCCCATCTATTGCCCATTCATTCTGTGCAAAAAGCAATTAGGTAAAGTGATTCTGCTAATGGATGAAGCAGTTCATTTCTTTTAGAGAGTCTCTACATGATGAAGGGAACCAGAGATGACTTCAGACAGGACTGCCAATCAGCTCTGCAGGTCTGACGTTCATTAAGCCCCAGGCCTCTCGCCCTGGGACACAACACAAACTCACAGATGATCTTTTAATCAATAATGAGTAGTGACACTGCACAGTAGTTTTTCAGAAATATCACTATTATTAGCCAAGATATGATGTTTATCACTTTAGTTTGGTTGTGGTGTACTTTTTATGCAGTAGCTCCATGCATGTTGTGTGGCTTTCATTCTTGAGTCGGAAAGATGGCATTCACTCAGGCGGGTGGATCTGTTACCATGTTCTTCATCACCTCCACAGTGTTCCCCGGAGCATTCTAATCCGGTCCGGAAGGTGAAAAGAAGATGAGCACAAAGAGATATTGAGAAAGAAAGAAAGAAAGAAGCTAACAAAATGAAAGACAGTGGATTGTGGCATCACTTTACCATTAAAAATTTATCTCAGATTGACTGTCTTGGTACATTTGGAGATCACAGCTTTAATGTGGGCCAAATATTTCTAAGTAGACATCTTCACTTGTGTAAGGGTCCAAAAGTCTGGGACCCTTACACAAATTATAATATAAACATGACTAAAAGTTGAATACAAATATTAAAATGAGTTTCAGGACGTTCCTTTTTAGTTTGTCCACTTTCTGCTTTAGTGACAGCAGATTTAGATTTCTTTTAAAAATTGTCCAGATTGTCAATGTAGCCACAGACTTTTGAACACCGTTATATACTACATGCATGTTAAACCAAAACATGCACCTTTTGTAGTGTTCTCGGCATGCATCTTTTGTGTTCTCCGATAGGTATTTGACCTGGTACGCATGCAGCGATCTACTTGCCCCAGTTTTGAGAAGGTCCTCTCGCTGTCTCTGGGTACTGTTACATTCCACAGAAATGGGTTGGTAAATTGAGAGGGAGCATTCTGTGATGGGAGTGAGGTCATTCGCAGGAGTTCAGGATTGAGCTCAGTAATCACAATGCCGTGGATGAGGAATGATCAACAGAGGAGATAGAGTGTCCTGCCCCAGCTGGCCTCTCTTCTTCTATCTTTGGTGCAAAACTAAAGCAGAGTCAGACGTGAAATTGGAAAATAAAGTGTAACGGGCCGCAGAAATGAAAACCGCTGCAGCAGCGTGAGGTTTGATCTGAGAAAAAGAAACATCTGAAGCTGTTTCTTTTTCGTTATCCCTGATTTTGTCTTGATTAGAAACTAGACTTTGTTTTGGCGACTTTGGCTGGTAGTTGTGCTTTGGTTCCAACCAAAACAATGCGTTAACACTGTGTTCTCATTATTGTCTTAACCATGCATTCCATATGTTCTATCACTTAAAGCCATTAGGAATTGGATTATAGAATCCAATTCCCAAGTACGACCAGATAGTGTCTATTGATAAGTCATTATGATTTGTAAAAATAGTCCATGCTGTGTGAGAAAAAGGGACAGGCTGAGAGAGAAACACAAACACACATGGATGGCCTAAATCATATTGCAAAAAAAAAAAGAAAGCATTCCACGGTGGAGTGATCGATGGCCACAGATTCTGCTGATAGGCCTGGTTTCTTTCCCAGCGTGTCTAAGGCGCCCTGCAGAGTCCCGTCGAAACAATGGCATTACTTCAGCCTCCCGACTGGTTTTCCTCGGAGCTGGAGGATTGTACAGACGCTACTCAAAAAAAGCTGCTTACTGGGCCCTACGGTGCAGCTTTGTGTCTCTTTGCATGCTGAGAATTAGGAGAGGTTGCAGCATGAGAAGGGGAGGGGCAGGAAGGATGACAGGGTGGAGGAAGAAGGGGGTAAGGTGCAGGATCTGGCCTGTTAAAGGATTAAGAAAATGATCAAGGTATATTTTCGGATACATCCACTTTGAGCCTTAGTCACTACAATCCGTTTGACGCATTTTGCACGATGGCGTCTGTTTTGGTTGAGATCATGTCATTCAATCATTTTGTTGCACTACTAGACAAAAGTTTGGAGACACTTGACTGAAATTATATTTGTTCTTATCATCAAAAGCCTTTGAAGACCTCATACAGAAATACCATCTTTGAAAAATCTCAATGTTCTTATTTATTTATACTTAATTTCTATATTTTTAAATGTTTAGTATCGTTTTAAATTAGTTCTATACACAGTTAATTAATTTATATGTATTTTTCAGTTTAAAAAAATAATAATTTTAAAACAGTGTCATAAGCATATTAGAACGATTTCTGAAGGATCATGTGACACTGAAGACTGGAGTAATGATGCTGAAAATTCAGCTTTGCATAACAGCAATATATTTCATTTTAAAAATATATCCAAATAGAAAACAGTTATTTTAAATTGTAATAATATTTTACAAAATTACAGTTTTTACTGTATTGTGATCAAATAAATGCAGCTTTGGAGCAGAAAAGACTTATTTTAAAAACATTTAAGTATTCATGTGTGTGTGTGTGTCTCAAGGTGTCTTTATTAATACCCAAGAGTAAATTTGTGTGTATAGATAGATATATAGATAGATAGATACAAATGGATTTTCTTCATTTCAGTGCCAGAAATAGCATTTGAAAACTCAAACTTATTAACCTACATTTACAACAAATTTTGAATGTCTGACCATACTTTTGCCACTTACAAGTAAACAAGTACTCTTGTATGTACTGTATGACTTGGTCCTGCGTTCTGTTTTTCGAGATATTTCTTGAACAAAGCTACAGTATGCATTACATTTAGTCTAATGAATGCCATGAAACAATCCCAAGACTAATTGGCATGAAACCCAGCAGGGTGCAGTGAAGCCTCTGACCCGGCCAAGGTCGTGGTTTCTATGCCAAGGTTTTATCGGTGCAAGGAGAAAGATATAATCACAAGTGGTTTTGCCCTACTGCACTGATTGATAAATAGTCAGAAATAAGATGTTTGCCAATAACAAAATACATGCATGAATATACTTTAGGTACATAGAGAAAAATACACAAGGTTTTTTATAGAAACACACTGAGTCTACATGTGTTACACAACCCAATAGCTTAATTATGATAAATGGCTTGGATATGAAAAATGTTTCAGACCTCAGCCAGTGGTCTTGTTGTGTAAATGTTAATGTTACAAATAATACAGTGATTTGGAATGGATCTGTCATTGTGACTAATTGAGTAAACCGCCTCATTTCAAAACAACAGTAATCTTGTATTGATATAAAGGATGTTTATAGACAGCGGACTGACATGTTTGGGCTCCATTAACTACAGATGTGAGTCTTAAATAAACATGGTCCGTTGTAGACATTGCGCCAGAACAGGACTCAGAATCAGGTTGATGCCTGTCGTGCGTGGCAGTGAAATTAATCATGCTGGTGCTTTGTCTCACTTCAGGATTCCAAACTGGGGGAAAGTTCAGGACAAACACATGCTATCTCGGTTAAGCTGATACTTTAGAAAAGCATGTAGTATAATGGACTTTTTTTTGTTTGAATACTTCTATTTAGGGAAAATTCAGCAGTTTTAAGGAAGCTTAAAGTTTATTATTTTTAATATATGACCTATATTTATATTATATTAGTATTTTATATTAATATAAACACAGCAAATAATAATAATAATAATGAAATATATATATATATATATATATAGGCCTATTTTTGCCGTTAGTTGTTAAGGATGGGCTTCATAATATAATGCTGTTCTGTTGAACTTTCTATTCATCAAAGAATTCTGAAAAAAAAATATATATATTCTTGGTTTCCACAAAATATTAAACAACACAACTGTTTTCAACATTGACATAATTTCATCATAATAAGAACTGTTTCTTGAGCACCAAGTCAGCTTATTAGAATGATTTCTGAAGGATCATGTGACTGGAGAAATTATGCTGAAAATTCAGCTTTGCCATCACAGGATTCAATTACATTTTAAGATATATTAAAATAAAAAACAGTTATTTTAAATTGTAATAATATTTGACAATATTACTGTTTTTTTCTGTATTTTTATCAAAATGCAGTCTTGTTGAACATACTGCTTTCAAAAACAATTTACCCCAAACTTTTGAACAGTAATGTATGTGCATGTAAAACACATAAATTGACGTTATGAAGCTTTTTCAGATATTGTTACAGTTTTACAACCTTCATGAACTTCGTTAAAGTGGATCTAAATCATTTAATTGAGACAAGTATTGACTTCTAACATGTCAAATAAGTAAGACTGCTAATATGTTTGAGGCACAATTTCAAACTTAATTCTAAACGTTTTCTGAATAAGCAAAAATGTGCTGTTTCAACATTAAATCCAATATTAAATTAAAAACAAGTTGTGTTTGTCTTATGTGCTTCAACAGGAGTGAGTGTCTCAGCCAATCAGGACGATGAGACAGACATGGAGACGTTTCAAATGGAAATTGATAAAGACACAAGAAAGTGCAAATTCAGAACTAATGAAGGGAATTACTGGACGCTTGTCGCTCATGGAGGCATCCAGTCAACAGCTACTGAAGCGTAAGATTTAGCTTTACTTTCAGACTTTCTGCTATTAATTCTCTTTCACTTATGAGCTATGACATGAGAGAAAATAGCAAACATGATATGTAACTATTGGTAAATGCATCCAAAACACAGTAACAGTGAAGCCATCTCATTTTCTCCTGTTTTCTGTGGGTGTACATGTTATTGAACATTATGACATTATACATTATGAACACTAATACGTACAATCTCCCACTGTGTGCAGCGGTGCCAACACCATGTTTGACATAGTGTGGCTCGGTCGACGGGTGGCACTGAGAGCCAGCAATGGAAAATACGTATGCACTAAGAAAAACGGCCAGCTTTCTGCAGTCAGTGACTCTGTGGGTGAGTTCATACATGATGCTACCCACACACACACACAAATAATTCAAATAAAAAGTTAGTTGAAAAACATATCCCATCCTGTTTTTTCCTCCAGGTGAGGATGAGCAGTTGATTCTGAAGCTGATCAATAGGCCTATTCTGATCCTGAGGGGAGAGAATGGTTATGTATGCCACCACAAGAACTCTAACACACTGGACGCCAATCGTTCAGTGTATGACATATTTACACTGCAGTTCAATGATGGCGCATACCAGATTAAAGGTGAGTTTTACTTCAGCCACATTTCCAATTTTTTTTTTTTTTTTTCTGTATTTCCTGTAATAGATCCAAAAGCAGCTTTCTGGAAAGCAAATGAAAGCTTTTATTTCCTGGAAATTGATTTAAGGGCAAAAAGAGCTTCTGGCAATGACTTCTGTTAATTGTAATCAGTGTCAGAAATGTCAAAGCATTTTAATTAACCAGCTGGAATTGATTTTCAAGGGAACTTGTAAACAGTATTTTCTTAAAACCATAAAACTAGAATACAATATTGTGAAATATACCAAATCTAAGACAAAAAAAGAGGAATGCACCATTCAACATTTAACCTGTTAACTGTCAGTGTCGTGGTGGCGGGACATTGCGTTACCATAGAGTGCTGCAGGGATGATGTATTTTTGTAGGCCAACCTGAAATCACACTGGTTCCCTCGACAAAAAATAGGATTTTTCCATTGGCTTTTGGATTATAGAAGAAAATAAGGTCTGAGACTAAAAGCTCATTATTGTAACATGTTCATCGTGATAATCTTCACAAATGAACACAACTTTAATGAATTTTTAAGCTTAAAGGGATACTTCACCTCTGGAAAGATGACTGTGTATTTAAAATGGGTCATTTATGTAGAAGAAATGTGAAATTATTTTTGAATTTGGAGCTTTCTAGACTGAGAAAAGCCAGAAAATGTATTTTTGGCTTATGTGGATGAAAGACAACAACTCCCAGAATGCACTTGCTTCGCTGCCCTAGGAGGCCATGCCTACCGGTAACGCAGCGCAGTAGTTCAACAAGTCTAGGCTACTAGTGAGTCTCCATAATGAGTCTGCCCGAAAATGTGTTTCAAGATCGCCCAAAATGTCCGGGATTCGGCTTTTGCGTTCTACAGTCGCCATTCATTATGTTTACTGTGGCGAGCAGGACGAGGCTAGGGCCGCGGGAGAACTGCACGAGGCCGGTGGCGTGATTACCGATGAGCGACACCTGTGAGACGCACCGGTCTCGTATCTCTCACGGAGGAGCGGGAATTTTCTAAGCAATGTTAAAACGCACATCAACCGATCACTTGTTTAGCGTTCATCTAAACACTACATTCAGATTCACCAATCGGAATGAATTCAGTTAGATTGAAACAAAAGGTGTGCATGTAAACAATGAATGGCGACTGCAGAAAACCAAAGCTGAATCCCGGACATCGACGGCCGGACATGTCCGGGAAAAAGAGGATGGTAACCCCTACTACTCAGCTTTCTCCACAGAACAAGAGCCTGCTAGCTTAGCTTCCAAAAAAAGATGGCTGACACTATGTGTACATTCTGTGAGTGAGATCCCACCCTCTATGGGCGGGTTGAAAACATGCGGGACATGCTGACTACTGACTGTAGTCTTTAGCCTCTGGCCAAAAAATCCTCCGATGACGCAAAATGACGATTTTGCGTCATCGGAGGATTTTTTTCCAGACAAAAAATACATAAATCTCTCGTCTCAGGGGGATATGAGGGTGGAAAGCACGGTAATTCGAAAATACTACAGGTTTTCTACTAATACAAAGCTTAATGCTAAATCCTGAAGTATCCCTTTAAATACAATCGGCAGGTTTGTGCTTATAACCAAACTACACCATGGTCACATCATCACATGACTTCAACATTTTCCCTGAAAGTTCGAGTTATAATAGTTTGCAAGAGCACTATTCACGACTGTAAACACAGCAAGGCTCTGAAGGTGGAGTACTGAGTAGAGTTTACCTGTTCCGCTTGATGACGTTTAATGTCCCGACAACCTCTGTAGTAGGGGTGGAACGGTACATGTATTCGTACCGAACCGAAACGGTAAGGGCGTCACGGTTCGGTGCACGAATTTACACGGAGAATACACGGTATAAAAATAAATAAAACTCGCGTGGAAATTAATTAATGTAATGCGGAACTACTGTTAGATACGCGGGTTCTTTAGGGACACATAATCTGTACCATCGGCTTAGCTCTGAACGCGCGTTCACTTCAAACGTTGGCTTTATACGCGCGTGGACTAGCGTCGAACTAGACGCGATAGACGCGAATTTAACGCTCTATACGCGTTTGGTGTGACCGTGACCGTATAATGAATAGGCTGCGATGTCAAGATTGCAATGCTGGTGTGTGTGTGTTTGTGTGTGTGTGAGAGAGAGAGGCGCGGCCGCGATCGAACAGTGGAAACATAAAAAAACATACTCCGTCATTTTGTTCATACAGATCATAAAACCTGCAAAGTGTTTACTTATATTTGTGTACACTCGGAATAAAACACAACATTGTGCTTTTGTCACACTGTAAACTCTTGTCAAACTGTAACCTACAACTGTCACCCAACCAAAATCTCTCTCTCTCTCTCTCTCTCTCTCTCTCTCTCTCTCTCTCTCTCTCTCTCTCTCTCTCTCTCTCTCTCTCTCACACACACACACACACACACACACACTGTTTTAAAAGCAAACCATATTTATCCAACTCCATTTCAAAACAGTCTGTGGGTCCCATCTTTTGGACATTCATCGCATTGGTTTTCATTTCTCGTCCTCGGAGCACTAATCTTACACATTCTACATTGATTAAAAAAGAAAATCGAATGCGTTATTAATGGTAGTATTATTTTATACAGAAATCAATTATTTATAATTCAGATGAGAATAATGTTACATTGTTAATTAAAATTAAGGAAAACAAATATATTGATCTGAAATATAGCAAATTAATTTTAAATTAATTCAGGTACAATTACCAAACATATCGCAAGGTCTTTTTGTCTTTTTATTAATTTAATTAATAAACTAATTATATAAAACTATTGTCAGTGCACTACAAATAAACTGGTTCTATGCCTTTATTAATAAAACTTATTTAAAAAATACAATGCCTTCTGTATTTTTGTTTTGCTTTTCCCTCCATTGTACCGAAATCGTACCGAACCGTGATGTCTGAACCGAGGTATGAACCGAACCGTGACTTCTGTGTACCGTTCCACCCCTACTCTGTAGTCCCATTTAGCCACTTGTTAGCAACCGCCTCTCAGGACAAGTAAAAGCTTTTTTAAAAAGTCATAAGAGGGTATTACTGATTTATATTGTAAAATAAAGTCAAAATATCTTGAGCTTGTGTTCACCATGGACCTTATTTCAAACATTTAACCAAACACCTGTTCAAAGAACCCATTGACTTCAGGATGATGGAAGCGGAGGTTCTAAAATGCTAACTCATTTCCGGGTTTTGGCCTATATAATACATCCCCCCCTAAAAACTTTTAGCAGGCTCCTCCTCCTAGTGGGCAGTCTCATGTTTCAAATTGTACAAACTCTTTTTCTAATCTTTTTCTAATCTTGACAAAACACATATCTTTGGTAAGGTCTGAGACTTAAGGTTCCATACTTGGCCACTGTTTTGTGATAGAAGTGACATTGTGACAGAAAAGTATTAAAGGCACAGTGTGTAATTTTCGCCGCTAGAGGTCACATATTCAAAACAATAACAAAGGCGTAGCTTGATGAAGCTGTGAGGGAGCGTGGAATGATGGGAGTTGTCGTCTTCACCTTCACTGCCGATGGAAATCAATCCGACGGGAATCACAATCATGTTCATGGATGAGGTAATGAAATAAAGTTTTATAATCGTTACGTTTGATCACATGATTTGTCGAATTAAATGGTGGGGTAACGCAAGCGCAGCTTTACATGTTCAAAACAATCATACTAAAAGTACATTTGAACATACCCACAGCATTTGCAAAAAGGCTGACTTACTATTTAACACATAATGTTTAATTACACTGCCATAGACTTGTTCACCAGACTTGTTAAACAGTGTTAAACCTGAGCTCTCTCCATCTTGGAAATGCCAGATCGATATTGATCCTCGCTTTATTTCTCCTCTTGTCCAAAACTCTTCTTGGGTCATTTGATTCACTTTATCAGGCGACAGAACCTGCTGAAAACAGGTAATTTGATTCACTTTATCAGGCGACAGAACCTGCTGAAAACAATAACGAATAATTGTGGTCCATGACAACTGTGCGAAACAACAACAGATTGTCGTGCTAGATGCTAAAACTACTACTTCCCCATTTTTTTCATTAAACTGAAAAAGAGTGTTGAGAAAAACTGTGTTGAGACTGTGTTGAGATGGTTTCTACGGCAGTAAAAGCGGAAACCGAGGATAAAGCGGACATGACGCCATTGACAGGTGACGCAATGAGGAGGGATGTTACACTGGTTAAAGCTGCAGTCCGCAGCTTTTCCTCTTTGTCGCCATCTCTGTTCGAAATCTGCAATTGTAGTCATTCACGGAATTATCAACTCTACGTGAGTTGTACTTCAACACCCTCGACACGGCACAGCGCGGAGGAACACAATTGTTTGAGGAGACTGTAAGGCTGTCAGTCACCGCGCCGGTGTGGATACTGGCATTCAGAATCACAGATTATTATTTTTGGAAGTATGACCAACATAAGAATTTTCACCGGAAAATGTCATCTGAACAAGTAAGAAACATCCACTTTTGTTCTGATTCTGACATTGCAGTAAATCGCGCTGATTAAATCTAACAATCGCTTATAAGTTATCATATCACGCAAAACCGTGGAAATTATACTTTGTTCTCAAATTGTTAATGTTAACAACGTCACCATTGCGTGACTACATGTAATGTCATTCCGATATGTCTCCTTGTTTTCGCATGGGCCGGTTGCAGTCTCTTTTTTTTCTGTAGCCACTCTGAAGTCTGAACGAAGTCTTTTGCATTTTACAGCGGGTGAATCTGTTGTCACTGGTGATTGTCATTTGAATCTTTCTGGATCCTCCATCAAGTTGATAAGTTTAATTATATCAAGTGCTGTGAGAAAAGGCTGTAAATCTCCACCTCCAGCATCCTCACACGCAGCCGACTAGCCGAGACTCCTTCTTTATGTGTACAGATGTGACGTAATGACGCAAAGACGTGCTCGAATCTCCCGCGGAAATCCACCAGTACCACTGGAATTAAAAACATTATTACAAGCTTTCCGCTTTGAATCGAGCTAAGGCAAGCAGATAGTTTTGAACACTGGCTGGTTATGTATTTTCTCAAATATGTATTTTGGATAATTTTTAACCCAAAAAAAGCTACGGACTGCAGCTTTAAAATTTTGAATTTCTCTGAATTTAAAGATTTGTTGGATATTGGAAAATGTATAATTTTGTATAATGTAAGTACAAAAGTGCACAAAATATATAAAACTGTTCTAGTGGTTTTTGGATATTTTAATGCAAAAATCTTACATATTGTGCCTTTAATTTGACAGGAGAAAACATTAAAAAATCAATGGAATGTGGGTGAGAGAGTAGTGACAAAATCTCATAATTTTTGTGATATCACCTTCAAATTTGGAACTCAACTTGGTTTGATTTTCTTGCAATTAGAATCCAAGTTATTTTGTAAAATATGTATTTTGTATCAAATCAATTTTTTAGTTCAGTACATTTGCTTTGCAGTAAACTGAAACTTCTGCCTTTTTCCATACTTTTATTTCTGCAATAATCTGCTGAGTGTATTTTTTAACCTCAGTTCTTTACTTTATTCCAAAGCATTGAAATACAGTTCATGAAGTTCAGATGCATTTGTGCAGTTTCACGTCTCAAAATGGAGGGTGACAGTTAACAGGTTTTAAATATGTAAATAATATTCAAATATAATTTGTATCACTTTGGCATTTTTTTGTCATGTGCTTATGAACACAGAATTAACCAGGGTTCAAGTCATTTATTAAATGAAGCTGACCAGTATTGTTTTCCTACAGGTGCTGGTGGAAAATTCTGGTATGTGTCCAACAGTGGTTTGGTGTGCTCTGATGGAGACACACCTGAAGATTTCTGCTTTGAGTTCTTAGAGCATGGACGGATAGCTATGAGGAACAAAAACGGCAAATACCTGCGAGGAGATCAAGGAGGCAATCTGAAAGGAGACGGAGAGAATGCAGACAGCTCTTCCCTCTGGGAATACTGACACCATGTGGACATTTAAGGAACTGTCATTCACCTGTGTTAAACTCTTGGATTTACAGATGTGAGAAAATAAATTGGTACAGTTTAATGTTCGGCAATATGTTTCCCATCAACCAGCATTTAATGTAGAGTCAGTATTCAGTATTACGCATGTATTCATGACCGTTTCTGATTTATAGTCCTATACAAAATGAGCCTTTAGAAAAATACAAACATGACAAAAACCTTTATCATTATCAGCTCACTATTGCACTGTTATGAAAACTGTGTGAGGTAATAATCATGCATAAGTCTTGCATAGCATGCTATTATTTTGGCAAATCACTTCTAACACCTGTTCGTTTGCGAATCGAGTAGACACATGGAAATTCATAATTGCTGTTTATCTTTATCACTATTTTTTAAACCCTTTATCTTCTTGTCCTTCATGCTCTTATTTGTTACCATGTCAATGTCTCTCAGCTCCAGTGAAGCTTATTTTATTCTCTGGGCTTACAGACTGCTGTGTTTGTATTATATGGACATAGAAATAGGCTTGGCAAATGAACTCTTCTTGTAGTTTCTTTAAGCTTACATGGCAACTGACAGGAAAGCCAAGCAACCATGGATAGAACAGAATACACAGTAATTACTTCATCTCACCAAAAAGAAATGTACCAGGATTAAATTCATTTTATTCCCTATTGTGATGTATTTGCTTTTTCTTGCTTAAGACCATCTGGAAAGGTTTTACAAATTAAAATCCTGTCTCTTAATTCTGAAGGAATGAATCTCATTTAGCCTGCATTTACAGTAACCTGGGTTTAGTAAAACAAATGCATTATTTCTGCTGTGAATTTAAGTAATTGGCTGCCGAGGCATCAGAGTTGAGTCTCATGCAGGCTAGCAGTGTTTTGCTGCTGCTGCTGTGCCTCTCCACGGTATTGCTACCGACAGAGAGAACAGTAATTGTTAAGAGCCCTGTTTTAAAAAGTGAACTGCTGGAAGCTGCAGCCGATAAGATAAAAAATCGAAACCCAATAATTCTCAACTGGAGGTACACTAATGTTTCAGAACATGAGCTTTACAGAGAAATAACATTTTGCATTGAATTATGAAAAAGTTATGCTATTGGGGTGGGCATGTGAATGTTAAGGGAATATTCCATTTGATAATATTGCAAACAACATTACTTTAAATGTTCTGAAACAAGTAGTAACATTTTAAAAAATACTAGACGAACGTACAAATTTGTAGTAAAAAAAAGTTGAACAATCTATAACGTTGTTGTGCTAACATGTTTAAACCTTGACAACATTATTAAAGATCAGATATCTCTGAACGAACGTTCTCTTAACATTACTCGAACAATATTTGCTCATCATTTTGAGAGAACCTTGCCAGAACGTTAGAGCCAGAACGTTTTAGAACATTCAGAAAGTTCTGAGAACATTCCCTAGCTGTGCTTATTGGCAATTGGTTAAAGGAGAGCATATAAAAATGACATATAAAATGTTTTATAAGGGTTATATATGCAGAGACAAATCACCATTAATTGTGTAAAGATTGGCAATGAAGTAATAGTATAAACTCATGTTTCTCTTGGTTAGAAAGTGTGTTCAATTCTCAGCAGTAAAAAGACCCTATAGCTCCATAGCTTTTTAAGCATCTCCAGTCATAAAATTTGCAACAGTGCACTGTTCTATTTCTCTGAGTATCTGTACACAGATAAAAACTGTAGGCCCATATAGATACATCCTAATCATAAATTCCATTCAGCAATGTGAGCAGTGATCATGCACTAAACAAAACATGAAAACTGCCTCCTGTGATTAAAAGTGCAACACTTATGAGCTAGACACCGATCTGCGCATGCGTGGAAGTGTGACGCCCTGTAGCCAATCAAAACTCGCGCTCTAAATTTGAAACTTTAACCGGAAGAAACGATCATAACAAGAAAGCCTAAGCCACTGGAGTATCTCGTTCCTTGTTCTTTTTACTTTCAATATCTCTCTCCATCTTCAAGAAAATGGATCTTGGTAGTGACGACCAGACCAAAATGTACTTTTATGAGAACAGACTTCAAACATTCGTTGGGTGGCCGTTTGAAGAGGGCTGCATTTGCACTCCAGAAAATGTGAGTGAACCCTTTGATCCAACAAGCCCCGAAATGTGTTTTGTAGGTGCTACAAAAAGATATGCAATGTTTTCCGCTTTATACATGGCGTTTTGTTCTATAGATGGCCAAAGCTGGATTTATTCACACCCCGTCGGAGAATAGTCCAGATATAGCTCAGTGTTTCTTCTGTCTGAAAGAGCTGGAAGGATGGGAGCCTGAGGATGACCCTGAGTGAGTCCGTGTCTTTTAAACTTTCCACTACTGCATTATAGATCTGAGAGAGGCTTTGTCTCTGTAATGCAATAAGACCCGGATTTCAAGTCAGGGTTATTTGATTTAATAAATGTCATCAGCCCCCTTAATGCCCATTTTGTTCCTGATGTGCTGTGTGTTACTTGTATTTTCAGGAAAGAGCATAAAACACATTCTTCCTCCTGTGATTTTATCTTGCTGAAGAAGACAGTGGACAGTCTGACTGTGGAGGAGTTTCTGAAACTTCAGAAAGAGAGACAGAAGTTTATCATTGTAAGTATGAGCTCACTGACAGAACGTCGTCACATTTATTTGTATAGCGCTTTATGCAGTACAGATTGTTACAAAGCAGCTTAACATGAATAAACAGGAAAATAACAGTGTAAATGTAATTTATGAAACGAATTCAATTTCAGCTGTAAAGAAGTTCTACAGAACATGTAAAAATTGTTCAGCTCGATTTAGTTTGTTAGTTCAGTTCAATAATTGTCAATGTTGTAAAGTTCATCAATTTATGAAACGCGTTCAATTCAGCTATAAGCAGCTCTACAGAAGCCAATAGTGTCATTATTCAGCTCAATGTCTATTCAATTAAGCTCAATAACGGTGTCGATGTTGCAAAGTTAGTGTCATTATCCAGCTCAATTCTGTTCAAATTTTGTTCTCATCTGATTGTGGCAGAGCAATTAAATCTATAATATTACTGAATTGTCTTTTAAACCCAAACTTTTAAACGCCAAAGAAGGTGACAGTGGCAAGGAACCCAAACTCCATCAGGTGATAGTAGTGGAGAAACAAAAAATTCAAATACTTCCCTTGAGTCTGTATAATTACCGTAATGTGATTTCACCAAAGTACAACATGTTCCTGGAACAACATTCCAATCAACCAATCAGATTTGAGGGACAAGTTTACAGTTTATGTGCATTTTAGGCTTACAACCAGGGTTTGGTGCTTCTACATCCGTGTTATTCACCTATCATTGGGTTAGGACTACATCAGTCTCACGTAACCAGACCTTCAGACTGACAGCAGAAGGTCAAGGACTGCCCAAGAGGACGTTTGACTGACATGTAGTGCAAACCAATCACAGTTCGTTTTGTTCAGCGTCATGTTTAGCAGGCGTGAAAATGTAAAGTCGATGTCCCCACAATAACAGACCGGTGTGCATGTAATCAATTATTCATTCAAGAATGTTGTGCAAGTTTACTCCAACACTGGAGCCGTGAACTTCTCATACTTTTGATAATCCAGTGTTTAGTTGATCCTGGTAAGCTCATTGTCACAGTTGTAAACACAACGCGTTCTTCTTCCACGAGGGGGCTTTGCGTCACGACGGTTTCCAGGCGGACCGTTATAGAACACAACCCGCACACACACACATCTCCTGGACATCCTGTAGAATTCAACCAATCAGATGATGACTTTGAAAATCCTGAAGTGTTTCCAGTTAAGTGTGCCAAATGCATCAGAAGTTCAGCCAACGTCTGTCTGAGGCTGAGACTTGGACTACTATTTCGGACAGAAATGTTGTTCCAGGATCAACAAAATGTGTTGATCTAGGAACATGTCTTACTTGGCTAAATCACAGTGACCCGTAATGCATTACTTTAGGTTGGTAGGGCATGTGTATAATATTATTAGATATGTTCAGGAGATAAAGTCAAGTCTCAAATCCCTTTTGTTAATAGTTATGTGTATTCTGCACTTTAGTTTTATAAACACTCTTACGGGACATTTAATTTATTATATTTAAAATATGTATTATTTCTAGGGATTTCCTTGATCATGTAAACAACTTTTAGACATGCTATTTTAAATGGCACTACGTAGAAAATGTATTTTTAATCAGATGAAAGTAACCTAGCTTGTTGTATTTAATTTGTATTTTCTTGTGACAAGGAAAAATGTCAACAAGTCGTTTTTTTTGCAGCTGAAATGCAACTTCCAAATTTCCATAGCTGAATATTATTAGATTTTTTCCATTCACATGCTAAGAGTATGAATGATAAATTGTATGAATAACATGCTTTGTAAACTTTCAGAAAAAATCATGTGGCCAGGCGATTGATAAATTTGAAGAGGCCGTGAAACTCAAGAGAACCAAGATCATCCACACGGCAATGGGGGAGGAATGAAGAGGTTCAGTGAGGGTTACGCTGACACCATTTTGGTCCATGTCTTTTCTTTCTTTTTTATGTCATACAAAATGCGTATTCTCTTTTTAAATGTTAAATGTGATGAAATCTTTGTCCTGTCTCTTGTTGAAGTTGATCTTATTACACACATTCTTCCTACTTTTATAGTATTTATTTTAAATGAGCTTAATAAAAAGACTCTCCCATGCTCTGGAACATGTTTTCAGTCTCATGTCTCATTCTTTCAATCTTTTTGTCTGTTCTGTCAGTATAAAAACTGAAGTAAAAATGGCAAGTTATTGTAGCTGTAACAGAATTCTCTTGGGAAATGTTCTGGTATGGAAAAGTCCATATTAAGATTATGGTAACTACTTTGTATTTCTCCTTAATGCTCAGCTCTGAAATATTACATGGGCTAAATTGCTTTTAGTAAAAAAAAAAAAAAAGTGGGCACATCACAGCTCCAAAATGTATTAACCAACCCTAGCAGTGCTAATAAATTTCACATTTTTGAGCAGCGGTGTGCCTTCTTGCTTTATTATTGTTTTTTGGTTGAGCAATCTGAATCACTTTTTGGTGATTTCCGTGTTTTTATTTTTGTCCTAATTGCTTTTAGAGACACTAATCTTAATAATAATAATAATAATTCTAGACCCAGTAATCATTAATTACTGGAACAATCGTGGAAATTAAGTGTGGAAAGACTATATGTATCAGTATTTTTCATTTATGATTACAAAAAAGATGGATGGACAATGTCATGAAGGGTGTTGGTTATGCACTGTACGTCATGTTTCCTCTGTACCAGTCATGCGTAATCTTGCGCTCAGTGTTAGTTGGATTCAGACTGCACACACCGTTGAGGAATTAATGTCCAAGCAACCAATCTTTTCTCTTAAAACCACACAACTTTTCTACTATTGACACCTTGCATGTCAGCATATGTTGTCGACATCACTTATTCCAGCGCGTGTGATTTATTCCATCAGCTCCTGGGATGCTTCACTTCAGCGTCTGATCGCGTCGCACAGCAAATGGCATGGTTTTCAGCTTAGTTTCTGTGTTGTCCTGAATCGGAATCGCAATTATAGTGTCCGATATGAAAATTACATTCGGTTTCGTGGTCGTCAGCGGGGGCTTAACTGGTGTTCTTAGTTTCAGCTGTTTAGCGCTCGCCATTGCAACTGAATACTGGTACATCATTGAAGACAAGCGCGCGAACCACACTGACCCGGCGCGCAGTAACTCTGGACTTTGGGGAGTTACAGATGGTATGGCGAACATTTTCATTATGTCTTTACCCTTGAGAAGCTTTGAATGAACTGATCGTAGCCCGATTCTTTTTTGAATAGATGCATTGGTAACATTTTGGGCTTTTACTGGTGCGTTCACTGACAGTTCGTTTGACCAATGAATTTCCAGGACCTTTTCTGTCATAACTGAATAAGTAGCCATAGCCTACCAATAATTTCATAGAGATTGCACCCACAGAATAATTTCTGCACCCTGGTGATTTGTTTTGTGTTTTTGACTGTAGATGTCCAAAGTCATACAGAAGAGACTGGATATTCAGAATCAGAAAGGCAGATGGAAAGTAAGTGTTATCCTTTTCATAAACACAATGACCGTAACTCCCTCTAAACTCTGCTTATTGTTCTGCAATGAATGTTCCATCATGAAATATCAGGCTATAGGCTATCTGTATCACTGAGCCATGCATAAGATGTTAGTTGGTGTTTTTATAAGCCATTTCTCTGTATGGCATAACAGCTATAATTTACTTAATTCAGTCATGCATAACGTGATTGCCATCTTACTGCCTCTGAGTCTGGTGATGCTGGTGTTTGGAGGTATCTGCGGTCTCGTCAGTTCCCTAGCCAGAAGCCGGACACTCCTGATCGGATCCGCTTCATATTTCCTCATGTGCAGTAAGTCTGACCCACTGAATGCCATGGTTCGCTCAGTAAACAAACATCTACTGTTTTAAAATTAAAGATACACAATGTATTATGTTGCCTGCAAAAAAAATTGTCAGCAGAGGACACAACTTTGTATGGCCGTCTGAAGAGAACAGACATATTTTACAGGGGGAATAAAATGGGGGAAAAATTGCTACCTTTCAGGGTGTGCTTTCAACACTATATTTTCATGGTTTCAGTGGTGGAGCCGGAGAGGTGTCCAGGGTGGCGTGGCACTGTACTAGTAATACACACAGTGCAGTCAGTGTCATGTTATAGTACAGGAATGTTTAGCTAATGTTTTTAATGGGAAATAACCCTTTTGGATGACACATTATCTGCCACATTGAAGAACTCATGGTTGTCACTTCTACCTCACCATATCACACCACATGAATGCCTGGCAAGAAGATGTGCTGCCTACTTTTTTAAAACACATTTCACACTGAAAGCGTGACATCAGTAGCGAACAGTCAATCACATGCCTTAAAACCGAGAGAAACTGCGATTCACTTCACGAGATAATCAGCGAGATTCATTTATATCCTCTGCCAAAGATTAAGAGATTTAAGAATATGAATTACATAAATGCATTTACACAGCAAGAAGAAAATATATTGCTATATCAGTGCAAGTGAAAGTTGTGAGGTTAGTTTATATAGTTGATAATATATACAGAGACTCGGACATGTAAGCTCACATGTACTAATTTTTAATTCTATATCGATTCCAAATCTTATTTATATTACATATTATCTGTATATGATTATGTTCATTTAATCTAAATGTTTAATAATAATTTTTAAACTAAAATTGCTTAATGGATAATTAATAATAGGCTAATATATAAAAATTATATAAATAAAATAAAATAATTATAATAAATAATCATTGCTAAAAGCCAATTTTGTATTTAAAAACCTTTTGCTATAGTGACCTTTAATTTGGAGCAAGACTAACTTTATTGCATCAGAGATTTGTAACTTTGCTCAAAGCTGATTGGTCCAATTTTGGTTTGCGATCTCTTACACAGGTTATGTTACTATGCCGATGAACACTACTAAAACCCAGGGTTGACGCAAACTAAACTGAAACATACCTGGCTATCCACCTTAACCATCTTCATGGTACAGGCCCCTGGTGTGCTGCGGGCGACTAACAACAAACTCTTGCTTGTATACTCTCCAATGTACTGTATGTTCATCTTTTGTTCTTCCTTGTCTTTCGTTCATCATCCTCACTTGTCATCCTATCATGCTTCAGCTATGATAAAGAGACATCCTCTCTTCTTGCATTTTGGGGGCGGAGCAATGAAGGGTGTTTGAATGTTTGTTTGGGGTGATTTCAAATATCAACTGTGTTTCTCAGAAATCGCATTTAACTTGAAACATTTCTGTTTTAACTGCAGGTAGGACAAATTGTCAGAACACCAGGCTTGTCCCCACTACGTTTTGAAAGCTGCTTTTCTGTTCACATAAATTCACTTTAAAAACTTTTTTTTTTTAAATCATTTTTACAAAAGTTTCATGGCCCCAGAATATTTTGTTGTATGAATATCTGAACATGCAATATATCAAAGCAAAGAACTGACCCTTTGCTTTTTAAAAAAAACCCTGTTGTATTCTAGCTTTTATTATCAACACTTGAATGTGGGTAAGTTTCATTTTTAAAAAAGCAACATTTTGAGCAAAACGCTGAGAAAATCACGTTTTTGGCAAAGGCTAAGTCTGGATCGGATTCAGAACGATGATCAAAACACAGATGAAGTAGATCGAGTCCATCAACACCCTTAAAGCTTGCACAGTCCTATAGCTCGTCCTAGGTCGACATTCCATTCGGTTTTGATTTGTATGCTGTTTAATGTTGATGATGTTATTTTACATATGCGTCTGCTAACATACTGTGTGGTATCACTTGTTTCTTCTGCTTCTTCACATGAAGAAGATTATACTCTTTCAGAAGATGCCTAATAGGTGGTAATCCTATTGACTAGTGCTCAGCAATTTCAGCAAATCTCTTTGGGCGAACGCAAACAACATAATTAACATTCATGAGCCCAACAACTTATCATTAGTGTGACATGTCATGCATTGACAACATGCAAGAAGACGTGAGCAAAAGGAGAAGTCTTTGAGTTCATTTTGTTAAATAGATAAAACATTTTACACTTAAGTAACTTTTAGCATGTTCTAAGTCTCAGACAAATTAAACTTGTTTCCTAAAGACTGATGGGGTGCAACACTAACAAAGTTCAAGTTCATGCATTTGGTCGTGCAGTTCTCTGAACAACATTCAAAAACTGGAAAGCTAAAGGCATCATTCACCAAGAGTAATTGTTATGTCAGAGTCTTATGGGACTGAAGTTATTGCGTTTCATCGTTTTCCTCTCATGTAATTGATAGGATAATAGAGAATGTCCCCCCAGCTGTGATTGAAATCTGCAATCTTAAGGTGAAAGGGAAAGGTGAAACCAAAAAAGATCTGGGTAGATTTATGTGAAGGATAATCCAGCCTCCAGTTATTCTAACCATGCATCAGTCTCTCGTTTAAATGTGATAGTATTGCTTTTGTTCTTCAGACAGTAAACACATGTACAAGAAGAAGAAAATAAAATAGAATAACAATCCATGCTGAGTGCAACCAGAGCTCATTTCCTGAGACCCCTGCAAGAAATCCCAAAGCAACTTAAGTATCACAGGCAGAAGAATTTAGCTTTGATCTTCGTACATGCACACATAGACATAGCTGGTTTGCTCTTTACCCCGACACCAAACAGCATCTCCTGTCCTCTCACTATGTAGCATGAAGGCATATGACTTGAATAAAGGTTTCCTTAAAGGAGCCAGCCAATGATTCCCAGTATTTACCAGCGTGGTAATAAAGAGCGCATGGCAAGAGTTTAACACGGTGAAGCTTGGAATGTAAATGAGAGGGTCAAATTGTGGCGTTGTTCTTGTTTCTTACTTATTTCGTTATTTTTTTTGGCATGTCCTCTATTCTTTGGATTGGTTATCACGGAAAGGAACGTAGTGAAAATGCGGATGCAATTTTGAAGGAATATTTTTACATCAGAGAATTTCACATTTTGTTAATGGTCTTCCGTTCATAAGAAGAAAAACCAGTGCATCTATTCATCTGGCCGTGACTTGTGACATACACAGTTCTATATACAAATAATCAGTAGTTTCTGGAGAGTACAGACTGTTTGTTCTAAATGAACCGGCAAATGTAAGATCAAAAACAAGTCAGTCTGTTCCTGTCTAGACTCTCGGCCATGCTAATTAGAAAATCTCTGTTTATTGGCTCTTAATTTTATGTGCATATTATGGCTGGTGAAAATCCATTCTCATTTTGTCAGTGTTTAATTAGATGTGATTTTTGCTGCTGTGTATCCACATTCTGTTTTAATGAAGATTTGGTAATAATGGCTCACGCCTTGGAATCATCATGCGCACCAGGGTGCCACAGGAAGCTAGTTTGACTTCCTCCCTATTTACATCGCTGATGCTTTTCTTAATTCTGAGAGAGCGGATGCTGTACACTATAGTCGTGTGTTTATGGCTCTGTGCTTACAGTAAGAGCAGTGTTTCTCTGCATGTCTGGGAGGAGAATGTTTTCGTATTAAGTTCTGGTTCAGTTGATGACAGAAAAAAACAAATAGTTTTTATCGGCTTAAAATATGGGTTATCAAACTAAATCACTTACACAATGCAAACATTATGCGAGCTGGAATAAGATCACTGGGTCCAGATCATTTAGCACAAGCGCAAAATATGTTACAGTCATTTAAAACATTTAAAATCTGAATCAGTAAAGCACCCTTGTTGTTTACAAAAAGTATTTTGCCACTTAAGTCACACTTCAGTGTCATTGAAAAAAAAAAGATCAAACCAAGTGGCATCTTCAAACAAGGACAAATATTTATGTAAATATATAGTTCAGTCATTAAACTCTTCCGAGCAGCTGATTGGTTCTCTTGAAGCCGACCGCTTTGTTTGTAACCTAACCAGATCAACCCTGTGCTGTGCCATATGTTCTTAGCCCTCCCCAGCACCACCTGCCTAGGTCTGCTAGGGGGATTCTCCTTTCCATGCAGCAACTGCAATTCTATTCCTCATATTCATCATGTGCATTTTTCTATTGTATCCTTCATGCAGCAGCAGCAGCAGCAGCAGCATATCAGATCTAGTCCGCCAAGATTAAGCCTATATGTACATCCCATGCTTATCAATAAATGCTGTTTAAATCTATTCCAAGAGTTGTCATGATTGAACTACACTTTTCAGAGACATTTCTTTTTAAACATAAACTATGGACATCAACATTTGACAACCAAGTATTTTGTAGACCATATATTGTTTTATACTAATAATTTCAACTAATAATTATTATAATGTGTCTAATGCTATTGCATTCATATGTTTAAGTGTAAATTAATTGTCCGATTACTTATTGAGGCCACTGAGTCCTTAAAGGGAGGAAAAAACATGATTGCAAAACCTTTGTGTTCCTCCACAAAACTTTTGCGTTCCCCCGAGAAACTTTTGAGTTCTTTGCGAGTACACAGTTTCTCTGGAGAATGCAAAAGCATCGACATATAATTTTCACTCACATCTCATATTTTTTTCCCATCACCATGCTCCTTTAGGAGCTCTGAAAATATCAAATAATATGGTATTTATTTATTATTATTATTATTTTTTTTTAAAGAAAGATAGCACAAATGAACTTTTCAAGCTAAATATTTCACAAAAATAAGTTGTTATAGGTACAAAATGCCAACATCTTTAAATGTATTATTCATGACTGAATATAGATAAATGTGGCAATAATAAAACCACTCCAGCCCACACGCAACAAATGTTCTGTCAACTACTTGTCATTGATTAAAGGAAATTCCCAAGAAGCATAATAATAACTGGATTTTAACGTTAGATCTGCTGCGAATCAAGACTGATTGTTGTCGATTAAAATTAATTTTTAGCCCACAGCTAAATGTTAACTGTCTTTTTAAAATCCATCTACAAAGGAAAAAGAACCTCTTGTAACCTCTGATAACAACAAGCTGTTGTCTAAAAAAATATGCTTAATTGGTTTTGTTTGTGTGTGTGCATTGATGCGTGCTTGTGCATGTGTTTTCTCAGGTCTTCTCACTCTCTCTGGGGTGAGCTTGTACATCAGGTACTCTCAGAAGGCTCTGGAAGAGACTGAAAGGCGGATGGGCCGCGAGCAGATGGCTCAAGTGTACACATCATACGGCTGGTCTATGGGCATGGCCTGGATCTCCTTTCTTCTGGAGGTGATCACTGGCCTTCTTCTACTGCTGGCTGCCAGGCTGGTGCCTTTAACTCAGTATGAAGAGTCTGTTGCTCCCATATAGAGCAGGTCCGTTGAACAATACATGTACATTTCAGGCAAGAGACAGTATTTGTCAAGGTAAGGTCTCCTCTCAGTCTTATATAGTTAGCAAAAATGCAGAACCCACACATGTACATTACCTGTCCAAAGTTTGGACACACTTATTTATTTCTATTATGACTGTTTTCCACATTTTAGAAGAATAGTTAAGTCATTTAAACCATAAAATAACAAAAACTGAAATTTCAAAAGAAAAAAAAGGGTTGTGAAGATATTCATACATAAGCACATTTTGTCTTCAAAACTAATTTCTAACACTTAAAATCATGAGAAACATTTCTTTTGAGCAGTCGTGTAGTAGACAACCAAATTGCCCTTGCAAAATGGAACAAATTGTATAATTCTGTTATGTAAATTTCATTTTTATATCTTTTGTAGATAATTGCTCCTGTAATTGCTAGTAAATTTCCTGTGTTTGCTTCTCTGTGATGTATTATCTTTTATGCTGGGCTCCTGTTTTCCAGTATTTGTATTTGCTGCTTTTCTCTGCCTATTGTCCTTGAATTCACATTATGAGTGGAGCATGTAAAAGGAAGCATGATGTAACTGTATATGATTTACAGCAGTCCATTGTTCATTAAATATGTGTAGTATATGAAAGGCCTTTCTGAAGATATTCATTTAACTTCTGCAATTTGATTCGCTTTATTATCTTCTTTGATGTTTTAAATGGCTTCATATTTCACGATAGTGAGCTTTGCATCTGATGTGCAATTTATTTACATGGGTCAGACTGTCCTTTTTAGAAACTATGTGCTAAGATGGATCATATATAATCAAAGTTATTTCTTTCCTCACATTTCTAGCAATTAAACAAATTTAATATGCAATGCCAATTTAGAGACGTTCCACAATCCCTGGGACTTTGAATGTCTTGTGAATGGTGTTGTTCTTGTAAAAACTGTTATCGTAAACAATGTTTTGCTTTTAATACAGTCTTCTCATTTATATTTGTGTTTCTTGAATTTTTTGCACTTTAACTTGATTAGTAACTGCTGTTGTTTGTCATATAGAGAGCTTTTAGTCTCAAAGAGATAGTGCTTTATGAAAATCTCTGTTGACTATTATTCTGATTTTGGCTTATGGCAACAGTGAGAAACATTACCATATGCTTTTAGATGTCTGTCAAGATGAAAGCCTTACTGAATTGTCTTGTACATAATGGTTGTTTGGATATTGTTCATTCTGGATATGTCCCTTTGGTTTTGCAAAACTGTATAAAGGTGCAGCAGAAGACTGGGAAAACATCTGACTTGCAGACAAATAATAATAATATATCAGGGACAACTTATTTCATATTTTTAGTGTACACTATAATTTTGATTATACATAGAAACAGCTTTAAACAAATCAACAACAGAAGAACAAATTGACTCACAGTCGTGACTCAAATAAATGAAGGTGCTTTTGGCACACTTAAATCATAAATATAAATCATAAAGATTGTAATGTCTTAAAAGTGCAGCAGTGGGTTTCATTTTTTTTTCTATGCAGCATGACAGACGTCAGGGGTCTGCTTTAACACTCTCAGAGGGTGACAAGCTCTAGCAGAGGCAAGAAATCAGAATCATTCAAGTTCATTTTCAAGTGTGGAAAGAAAATTGAACAAGTGTTTGATGAGACTGACTTTTTTGATTCAAGCTAAATATTGGTGCTTCTTAAACTGAAACTGATTATTGTTCATTTGCCTTATTAGTATTTGTGTAAATTAGAGATTTCACTTAAAGTCCAGGCTGGTCTGACGGGACAGATTTCCAAACTACTGCATCCCAAACAGATGTAAATGTTTTTTGTTGAATTATTCACAACCTATAAATGATGTTTTGTTGCCGTGCTTTTTTTTGACATCTCTTAGATGAATATATTGAGTTTAGTAATAGCACTCAAGCCCTCACTGAATAATTTTGAATTTCAGTTCGAGCCAGTCTGTTTTTGTGGCCTCCTCCACAAGTAGTTGATTAGTCCACCCCGTCAGCCGTACACGTCCCCATCAGAGCCTAGCAGACCACACAAGGCTGAAATTAATGTTCCTTTGGTGTGGCCTCGTGCATGGCTCAGTCCATAAAGGCAGTATTTTTCCATCATGACATGTTTCACTCATATGCAGCCTATTGATTGTGCCTATCAATTGCATAGGGTATTTATGCAACCACATGCAGCAGCACCCCCCCCCAAATAATCAATTCTATTCAATTCACATTTATTTGTATAGAGTGTTTCACAATACATGTCGTTTTAAAGCAGCTTTACAGAAAAACGCATGTTTCTACATTACAAGAGTTATCTGTAATCAGAGGTGACTGTCAAAGTTATGTCCATATGTACTGTTCTAAAATAATACAAGTCATGCAGAAAATATATAGAAAATGTGGCAGTAATGAATATTGATTCAGAGTTGGCGTCATCTAAAGTCCTTGCAGGGGACGGCTCCTCTCTTCACAGGTGTTGGGGGATCTGAAGTATGGATCCAAACTGGAGCCGGCGTACTTTCTTTCCCGAGGTAGAGACAGAAAAGCAAATGGAAAATAATTAGTGTAGCTGCTGTTCATAACAAGACAGTCATGTGCATTTCATCTGATATAACTGAAGTACAAGGTTATGAGATGCATAATGTGAATGCTTGGCTAAAGAGATGGGTCTTTAGTCTAGATTTAAACTGGGAGAGTGTGTCTGAGCCTTGAACATTATCAGGAAGTCTATTCCAGAGTTTAGGAACCAAATGCGAAAACTCTCTCCTCTTTTAAAGGACTTGGATATCCTAGGTTTACCAGAAGCCCATAGTTTTGTGACCTTAAAGAACGTGATGGGTTGTAGGGCGATTGGTTAAATACCATAGACAGTATAAGAAATGGACAGAGCCATCTCATTGGAACTCAGTTGAGACAGTTGAAGCCCATTTTTAGCGATTTCTGAGCACTTCCGTTCCTAACGCGCAGACTCAAACCGACTCAAACTAAGCTTGATGACGTGAGCAACCTGTCTGACAGACGTTAATCTTCTAGTAGCTGTGCGTGAAAATTGCCAACGTTAATCTTGCAGAGACGGGGAACTTGAGCAAAGAGTTCTTTGGCGTGAGTGAGCGGGAGTAAGTATTCCGTTGCTTTTATGGACTCATTATCTATGGGCTTCTCCCTTGACGGGACGTCCCCCCGATTGCCTGCGAGCTTCTCCTCCTGTCTGTACGGTAATTTCTGTACAGCGCGACAGAGAGTCGAGTGGTTATGACGCAATCGTTAGCCTATTTTTACTAAAACTGTTTCTACGGGGCCATAATGTAACATAGAAGGTAATGAAGCCCTTTATACATTGTCGTGTTTCTTTAGAAATAAATAATGGACAAATGGAGTCTTTAAACGCCTCAGATGTAAAGTTATTCGCTGTCAAAGTGACGCCAAAATGAATGGGAGTCAATGGAAATGCTAACGCAAGTGAAGTTCTGCTACAACATGGCGGCACCCGGCCGGCTTCAACTTCCGGTCGATGGATTACCCCCTTGTTAAATACACATGAGCTCAACCATTTAGAGCCTTATAGGTCAGTAGTTTGTAATCGATACAGAACTTAATAGGTAGCCAGTGTAAAGATGATAAAATTGGGGTTACAGTGGGGGAAATAATTATTTGATCCCCTGCTAATTTTGTAAGTTCACCCACTTACAAAGAAATGAAGGGTCTATAATTTGTATGGTAGGTTTATTTTAACGGAGACAGAATATCAACCAAGAAATCCAGAAAAAAAACATTATATAAAGGTTATAAATTGATTTGCATTTCAGTAAGTGAAGTAAGTATTTGATCCCCAAGCAAAACATGCCTTAGTACTTGGTGGAAACACCTTTGTTGGCAAGCACACGGGTAAGACGTTTCTTGTAGTTGGTCACTAGGTTTGCACACATTTCAGGAGGGATTTTGGTCCACTCCTCTTTACAGATCCTCTCTAAATCCTTAAGTTTCAGCTCCCTCCACAGATTTTCCTTAGGATTAAGGTCTGGAGACTGTGCTTCTTCTTGAGCCACTACTTTGTTACCTGGGCGGTATGTTTTTGGGTCATTGTCATGCTGGAAGTCCCATCCACGACCCATCTTCAGTGTTCTGGCTGAGGGAAGGAGGTTCGCATCCAAGATTTGACGGTACATGGCCCCGTCCATCGGCCCCTCAACACAGTGAAGTCGTCCTGTACCCTTACAGCCCCAGAGCATAATGTTTCCACCTCTGTGCTTGACTGTAGGGATGGTGTTCTTGGGGTCATAGTCAGCATTTCTCTTCCTCCAAACACAACGAGTTGAGTTGATGCCAAAGAGCTCAATTTTTGTCTCATCTGACCACAGCTTTCTCCCAAGCCTTCTCAGAATCATTAGATGTTCATTGGCAAACTTCACACAGGCCTGTACGTGTGCCTTCTTGAGCGGTGGGACCTTGCGGGCGCTGCAGGATTTCAATTAATTGCGGCGTAGTGTGTTACCAATTGTTTGCTTGGTGAATGTGGTCCCAACTGCCTTGAGATCATTAACAAGCTCCTCCCGTGTAGTTCTGGGCTGATCCCTCACCTTTCTCATGATCATCCTTACCCCATGAGGCCAGATCTTGCATGGAGCTCCAGACCGAGGGCGATTGATTTTTCATTTTGTATTTCTTCCATTTCTGAATAATAATAACCTTTATATAATGTTTTTTTCTCGATTTTTGGTTGATATTCTACCTCTATCCGTTAAAATAAACCTACCATAAAAATTATAGACCCTTCATTTCTTTGTAAGTGGCCGAACTTACAAAATCAGCAGGGGATCAAATAATTATTTCCCCCATTGTATATGATCATATTTTCTTGACCTGGTAAGAACTTTAGCAGCTGCATTTTGGACTAACTGTAGCTTATTTATTGAGGACGCAGGACAACCACCTAGTAATGCATTATTTTAGAGGTCATGAATGCATGAACTAGCTTTTCTTCAAACTTTGATGTTTAATATCAAAATAAGGGACCGGTAAGGGACCGGTTCCATCCAGCACACGGCTTGTTCCGCCTGCTGCCGTCGGGCAGGAGGTACAGGTCTCTTCCAGCTAGAACCACTAGAATGGCTAACTGCCTCTACCCTCAGGCAGTTCGACTGCTGAATGAGCACCATTCCGGACTTCCTCCTTCCGTTACTTAATTTACACATCTATCATTATTTAACATTACCCAATAACTGCAATAACTGTGAACTGGACTCTGCATTGTTGCAGCACACATAATTATACTTTTTCATTGATTGGTAGCAATCCAGCCTATACGCCCCTTCTCTGTTTATGTGTCACTATGGCCCTATTTGTGGTGGTAGTATGGACTTTA